AGAGCATTCATGGAGAGTTTGGGGGTCTCGGTGAGCCTTACCTCGGGGTACCACCCGGAGAGCAATGGGCAGGTAGAAAGAGTCAACCAGGATGTGGGTAGGTTTCTGAGGTCATATTGCCAGGACCGGCCGGAGGAGTGGGCTCGGTATATTCCCTGGGCGGAGATGGCCCAAAACTCTCTCCGCCACTCCTCTACCAACCTAACCCCCTTCCAATGTGTGTTAGGTTACCAGCCGGTTCTGGCACCTTGGCAGGAGAGCCAGATCGAGGCCCCTGCGGTGGATGATTGGGTGAGGCGCTCGGAGGAGACGTGGAACGCTGCACACGTCCATCTGCAGCGGGCCATCCGTCGACACAAGGCGAGCGCCGATCTCCACCGCAGTGAGGGGCCGGTGTACGCACCTGGAGATCGAGTCTGGCTCTCGACCAGAAACCTGCCCCTCCGCCTGCCCTGCCGGAGGCTGGGTCGGCGGTTTGTGGGGCCTTTTAAAGTCCTGAGAAGACTGAACGAGGTGTGTTATAGGTTACATCTGCCTATTGAATATGAGAATATTAACCCCTCGTTCCATGTGTCTCTTCTCAGGCCGGTGGTAGCTGGTCCACTCCAGGAAGGTGAGATAGGAGAGACTCCTCCGCCCCCACTGGACATCGAGGGGGCTCCGGCGTACACCGTTCGGTCCATCTTGGACTCAAGACGTCGGATGGGGGGTCTCCAGTATCTCGTGGAGTGGGAGGGGTACGGCCCGGAGGAACGGTGCTGGGTGCCGCGGAGGGACATCCTAGACCCGTCTCTCCTGTCGGAGTTCCACCGGGGGCATCCCGCGCGCCCTGCTCCGCGTCCTCCTGGTCGTCCCTGAGGCCGGGGTCGGCGCACGGCTGGAGCCGCGCGTCAAGGGGGGGGTACTGTCACGGTTTCGGCCGAGGTTGCTCCTCCTCCTTGCTCGGGCAGGCTTCGGCGGTCGTCGTCCCCGGAGTACTAGCTGCCACCGTTGTATGTTTCATGTTCGTTTGGTTTTGTCTTGATGTTGTACACCTGTTTCCAGTTAGCGTTCATTAGTGTCCTATTTAGTTCTCGTTGTGTGTGTCAGGTGTTGTGTGTGATTGCGCTTCTGTTTGGTGTTCTGTGCTACGTGTTTCCCTCCGTTGTTTTGGAGAGGGTTTTTCTCACATGTTAGTGCGCCTTTTGTTTGACGCCTGTGTGCGCCTTTATTTCGCCTCCGGGCTTGTTGAGCTCGTGTACTACGTGAATATTTCACTAAAGTCTTTTGGACTTAGTTTCTGCGTCCTGCGCTTGATTCCTGCACCACACCCACCTTCAGCACCCTTGACACAGACGTTCTTATCCAGAGCGACTTACAGTTAGTGAGTGCCTACATTTTCATACTGGCCCCCCGTGGGAAACGAACCCACAACCCTGGCATTGCAAGCGCCATGCTCTACCAACTGAGCTACAGGGGACTAGATAACCCTGAAGGAGCTGCAAAGCTCCACAGCGGAGATTGGAGTATCTGTCCATAGGACCACTTTAAGCCGTACACTCCACAGAGCTGGGCTTTACAGAAGAGTGGCCAGAAAAGAGCCATTGCTTAAAGAAAAAAATAAGCAAACACGTTTGGTGTTCACCAAAAGGCATGTGGGAGACTCCCCAAACATATGGAAGAAGGTACTCTGGTCAGATGAGACTAAAATTGAGCTTTTTGGCCATCAAGGAAAACGCTATGTCTGGCGCAAACCCAACACCTCTCATCACCCCGAGAACACCATCCCCACAGTGAAGCATGGTGGTGGCAGCATCATGCTGTTGGGATGTTTTTCATCTGCAGGGACTGGGAAACTGGTCAGAATTGAAGGAATGATGGATGGTGCTAAATACAGGGAAATTCTTGAGGGAAACCTGTTTCAGTCTTCCAGAGATTTGAGACTGGGAAGGAGGTTCACCTTCCAGCAGGACAATGAACCTAAGCATACTGCTAAAACAACACTTGAGTGGTTTAAGGGGAAACATTTAAATGTCTTGGAATGGCCTAGTCAACGCCCAGACCTCAATCCAATTGAGAATCTGTGGTATGACTTAAAGATTGCAAAAATCCCAGTGGCTAGATGTGCCAAACTTATAGAGACATACCCCAAGAGACTTGCAGCTGTAATTGCTGCAAAAGGTGGCTCTACAAAGTATTGAATAGTTATGCACGCTCAAGTTTTCTGTTTATTTGTCTTATTTCTTGTTTGTTTCACAATAAAACATATTTTGCATCTTCAAAGTGGTAGGCATGTTGTGTAAATCAAATGATACAAACCCCCCCCCAAAAATCCATTTTAATTCCAGGTTGTAAGGCAACAATATAGGAAAAATGCCAAGGGGGGTGAATACTTTTACAAGCCACTGTAGGCTCCCATGGAAGTCTATTGTATCCAATTGTTAGTATTCCTAGGGTGTTCTTCTAAAGAGGTTGCAGGAGTATATTTAACATTTGGAGTGAGAGCTCATAAATATGTCATAAATGTTCAACCCAGACTTGTTTGGGTTCACGGGTGTATAATGCCTGCTAGAAAGGGGATGCTGATGTCAGTTAATGTTAGAATGTGGTGGCCATTTTAGAGGTTAGATGGCGCTGGGGGATTGAATCTCTGTGTGACCGTCTGCCTTATATAAACCATTTCTTTACTAGAATCCTTGTCAGTGAATTGCATCACTATGGTGATGACAACATCCTGTTTCCATCTAGCTTAATGATCAGGGCCTATTGTGATCCTGTCACATCATGGCTGTCGGAGACTCTATGTGCTAAGAGCTTTCAATGGCTGTCTATATGATCTAGTCTAGATAAGCCCCAGCTCCCCCTCTCCCCTCCTCCGTCTGTCCTCCTCTTCTCCCTTTCTTTTTGTCTCCACGATTCCTCAAGATTAAAAGGGGGGAGGAAGGATTTAAAAACAGAGGAAGCATGTATTGATGTGTCAGAGTAGGTGATTAATATTTGCCACTGTGTGTGTGTGTGTGTGTGTGTGTGTGTGTGTGTGTGTGTGTGTGTGTGTGTGTGTGTGTGTGTGTGTGTGTGTGTGTGTGTGTGTGTTGCATGCACGTGTGTGTGTCTGGGCCAGTTATCTATACCTATCACAATGCCACCAGTCCACGTCTTCTTCTGCTTTTGGAGGGTGAGTCAGAGATGGTTGGCATCGCAATACACAATAGGGCCAAATAGAGGGAAAATACCATAGCTGTTGGGTAGAACTGGACCTGCCTTTGAATATGACACATCCTTTGAATCTGACTGATATTCTGAAGAGTTACTTGTGTGGGTTACAGAGATGAGGTAGTCATTGAAAAATCATGTTAAACACTATTATTACACACAGAGTGAGTCCATGCAACTTATTATTTATTATTATTATGTGACTTGTTAAGCACATTTTTACTCCTGAACTTATCTAGGCTTGCCATGACAAAGGGGTTGACTCAAGACATTTCAGCTTTTAATTTTGTATGAATTTGTAAACATTTCTAAAAACATAATTCCACTTTGACATTATGGGGTATTACAAAGTCTCAATGTTATCCATTTTAGGCTGTAACACAACAAAATGTAGCCTCAGGCCAAAAGAAAACAGGCTTTTCTTTGCATCACAACGTAGCCTATGGGAAAAGACCAGTGAGGGAATAGCCTAATGGGCTATATACAGACCTGCATGATCATCAAATGGAGTGTGTACTAACAAGATTTAGAAACAGAATTCAGTAGATTCTGTCGCTCCGCCCCTCATATCCTTTTGAGGGAGACCTCCAAGAACCTTCAAGTAAAAAATCTCATATCCATTCACATTATGGGGAAAGGCAGTAGGCTACACACACGTTAGATCATTCTGTGCTCTTAAGCTTGGTAATAACCATGCGGGGATTCGAGTACCGTTTGTGTGGGAAAAAACAGATGAAATCTGATTGCTTAAGACTCTTTGGGTAAATACCGCAAACGAGCGAATGCCGGATTTTACCGACCACTGCTGGATGATGTCGCGCGCTCCTTGACACTGATTACAATCCTCGAATGCAGGAGAGAAAATGTGGAAAGAGGAATATGACGTTCATTTCGACTTTCTTCTAGATCTCCTGTAAGTCTTTTCCTCTGGTACCACTTACAGTAAAATTATTCTGAAGTATATTTTCAATCAGAATTAGATTGAGCGGGAGTGTCAGCTGTATCTGCAATTAGCATATTGAGCCGTTCCGGTTTGACACAACGGTTATAAATCAACATTGATTTGCAACTATTCGGTATAAATACACTATGGAAAATTATGCCACTTTAAGTATAGTTTAGATAATTTTGACAATAGCTCATTTACTATACCATATAAAAACTTTCAAATGTATTCTCTGTATGGCTTTAACTTTGGTCCGTTTGAACGGTTTTGTAAGGCTGATCAATACATTTGAGCCATCTCTGTTGACCTTGCTACATGTTGCTCACTCTCATGGGAGACAGGCACACAGTTGTTCAACATGCCCCTAGGAACTAACAAGCTACTTTGTTTCCTTTCAACAACAAAAACGGTGACTAATTCCTATGCCTTTATCAGTTATTGTCACGCAGTATACTGTAGTGCAGCATCAGTAAATGTTGTGTTATTTTACAAGTCTTGTGGTTTTGAATAACAGAATGAGACTGAGGGGGCAGTAGGGTATGAATGATCCAGTGGTGTACTAGACTGGTGTTGTGTTGGATCATTTAATGCTGAGTCCTTGGTGTTATTCCCTCAAGACATCCTTGCACAGAGGATGCCAGTGACTCCTCAGGAGATGACCTGCCACAGTTATGAAACACACGGGGACACACACCCCTACTCATAAATAACACACACACACACACACATTTACTCACATAATAGGTGTTATCGACTTTAGTCACATTAACTCATACTGGATGCGCAATTCCAAAATTGCAATATTTGGGCAATAGAGTGTGACCCCAACTTATACACCTATCCACACATCCACACACCCCTCATGCCCTTCACCCGACACACCCTTGCTGGCCCGGGGGTGGATGGCACCCAACACAACTGGGAGAGAGAGATTCTCATGTGAGTCACAGACATGCAGCCTCATGCTCTAACTATACACAATGCCACACAGACACAAACACACACACACACAGGCACACACACACACACACACAGTTTCACTATTAAACATTGGCTGACTATTCAAGATTTCACTTTGCTCAAGAAAAAGTAGCAGAATCCACATTGAGTAGCTGTGAGTCAGGGGGACCATCGCAAATGGCACCCTATTCCCTACATACAGTGGCTTGCGAAAGTATTTACCCCCCTTGGCATTTTTCCTATTTCGTTGCCTTACAACTTGGAATTTCAACAAGCATTTTGCTACGGCTGGCCATGCTTGCCACCTGGCTACCCCTACCCCGGCCACCAGCTCTGCACCCTCCGCTGCAACTTGCCCATGCCCCCCCCCCCCCCCCCACCCTGTTCTGAAAGAGCTGCAAAATCTGGACCCCTACAAATCAGCTGGGCTAGACAATCTGGACCCTTTCTTCCTAAAATTAGCCGCCAAAATTGTCGCAACCCCTATTACTAGCCTGTTCAACCTCACTTTCGTATCGTCTGAGATCCCCAGAGATTGGAAAGCTGCTGCGGTCATCCCCCTCTTCAAAAGGGGTGACACTCTAGATCCAAACTGTTACAGACCTATATCCATCCTGCCCTGCCTTTCGAAAGTATTTGAAAGCCAAGTTAACAAACAGATCACCGACCATTTCGAATCCCACCGTACCTTCTCCGCTATGCAATCTGGTTTCCGAGCTGGTCATGGATGCACCTCGCCACGCTCAAGGTCCTAAACAATATTATAACCGCGATCGATAAAAGACAGTACTGTGCAGCCGTCTTCATTGACCTGGCCAAGGCTTTCGACTCTGTCAATCACCGCGTTCTTATTGGCAGACTAAATAGCCTTGGTTTCTCAAATGACTGCCTCGCCTGGTTCACCAACTACTTCTCAGATGTGCCCTTGAGTAAGGCACTTCACCCTAATTGCTCATGTAAGTCGCTCTGGATAAGCCAGTCAGCTAAATTACAAAAATGTAAAAAAAATAGAATGTAGGGAGGGCAGTAATTTTGTTAATAGTTCCTCGCCTGTCTTAGGCTTGATGAAGGAGCGTATGTCTTCCTTGTACAGAGGGAGGTATGGGTACCTATTGTCGTTTGGGGTTCCATTCTTGTGAGAGGCTTGTGTTGTGTTCTCGGCACGCTGTTGGCTGCAGTGAGGATTGTGGGTAATTGTGATGTAGGAGACATCAGCCTGGGAGGGGTGGTAATTGCGCCCGTTGTCTCTCTTCTTAGGACACCGGGTTCCGCCGCCCGTCGCGACCACGGCAACCAACACATTACCGTGCCACAGCGTATTGAATTTAGGGAGTAATGCAATTGCTCTAATCAGATTATGCAGAAAAATCTTAATCATCTATAGAGAGATTGTTGACAATGTCAAAGAGACACGTAAAATGATAGGGATAAATGGTCTGGTCTGGTATTGAGGCCTGTGACGTTTGTTTTTAGTACAATTTCAGTAGTGATTGTTTAGGATGTTTTATGTGTTTTGGTTAGAGTGATAGAGCGATGTAGGGACGGTTCTGTTTCAGATAAGCTATCTTTATGTGTCTTCAGGGGATTTTTATTATAGAATCAGGGTTATATGAGAGAAAGCAATCTTATGTTGATAGAATATCACACATTCTTATATTTATCTATCGGTCTAGTGAAAAGGGTCTTAAAATGTGAGTTTATAGCTCCCATGTATCATCATAACATTCTACATTTTCATCTTTATGACTGCCAGTCAGTGGTCCTGCTAGGGTTATGTAGAAGACTCACACTAGGGCCCTGTTCTGTGGGGCAGGTAGGTGCCATACTATCAGCTCAATAAGGCTGTCATGTGCGTGTCCTCCTCAGTGATGCCAACGTCACGGACGTGCTGTCGGACTCAGAGTCGGAGCTGGGCGGTCTGGAGCAGCTGGAGAGAGGCAGCACGGAAACCCTGGCCAATGGTTGCCGTGCCGACTGCGACGCCGCCAAACGCCTGGCCAAGCGTCTGTTCTACCTGGAGGGCTTCAGACGCTGTGACGTGGCACGCCACCTGGGCAAGAAGTGGGTTTTCAGGCATACACACACACGACCACACACACAAGTGACCACACACACACACGACCACACACACACGACCACACACACACAAGACCAACCACACATGACCACACACACACGACCACACACACACACGACCACACAGACACACACACACGACCACACAGACACACACACATGACCATGCACACACACACACTGTCATTCAGTTCCACATTGATACACATGCATACGTCTCACAGTGTTTATATTGTATTCATATGTATTTTGTATCATCTTAAAAGTCACATCTCTTTCTCTCTATCGCTCCCCATCCCCCCCTTCTCTCTCTCCCTCCCCCATCCCGCCTCCCTCTGTCCATCCTGCAGTAATGAGTTCAGCCAGCTGGTGGCGGCAGAGTACCTCAGCTTCTTTGACTTCTCTGGCCTGTCATTGGACAAGGCCCTGAGGTAAGAGCAGTCAGCTCCAGTCAACACTATACTCACAGCCCTGCTCACAACACATTAGCCTATCGCTGATTTCTCTGAGTATAGAGCTGTAGTGTGTCTCTATTTTGCGATACAGTAAACTGTCAACTCCTGGTATACAGTATGCCATGATTTGGGACTGTCTTGAATGCATGTGTTAAACCACAGCATGCAGATATCCAGAGTAAATGAACATGTTTATATTGGGAGTGGTGAACCACACTTACACTGAGTTTGCACTGAATAAATGTGCAATGTACTGTACTGTACTAATCTACTGTAGCCTTAGTCTTAAGATGACATTGACGATTTTCAAACCAAAGTGAGGAAACCTGTGAAAGAAGGTTGTAGCATATAGCCTATATCACTGTGCGGACAAATACAATCTGCATTCTAGCCTGAAAGCAATACTGCCTGCTCACTCGTTGGTCTTTGACCTAATTCTCAGGAACTTCCTGAAAGCCTTTCCTCTGATGGGTGAGACCCAGGAGAGAGAGAGGATCCTGGTCCACTTCTCTAAAAGGTTCTGTGTCTGCAACCCCACAGCCCTCGCCCCCGAAGGCAAGGACAGATCCAAACGGAATGATGATGATGATGAAGAAGATGATGGTGATGATTTATAATTAGGGTGGTGGGGCGGGTGGGGATAGGGCTGTGGTGGGTTATTGTCTTACAAATGATCTCACGGTAATTAACATAAACACGTTTAGCATCTTCTCCACTCATACAAGCCGCTGATGCACGCCTTTGGAACATCTACATTTTTAAAAAGTAGAATAAATCCATTTGATATATACCATCACAATAAATCCATTATTTATTTTAGGCAGGTCTAAAGAAACATTATTATATGAAGATGTATTTCAGTAGAACAGAATATGAGTTGGCCTACTGTATGTTACCTGGCTATGCTCCATGCCATAGGCTGTAGGCTTGTCCATTTAGCAGACAAGATATGCTTTCAAGTCCTGTGCCATTATTTTATATTATTTTATAGTAAGAAGAATATAATTGAACTTAGCTGAATAAAATAGAAAGGATATTTTTCCCATTCCGGAGCGAGTGTGCATATGAAGTGGCTATGTTGAGTGTAAAAGTGATCATTTGAAACAGGTCCTATACGCTAGATTTAGAGTTATTTGGCAACTTTAGTTGTGAATGATACAAACCGTAGAATGTCTTAGAAATCAAAACATACATGGGCTGCATGGTGTGACTACAGGCTATTGATGATTTGAGAAAGTCGCAAAAAAAAGCTTGCGCTCTGTTCCTTGCCTCAGGCTGCACGTGCTGTTCTCTCATCAAGTGATCATATTTTCACCCATCAAATCAAATGTTATTGGTCGCATACACATATTTTGCAGATGTTATCCTGGGTGAAGCGAAATGCTTATGTTTCTAGCTCCAACAGTGCAGTAATACCTAACAATACAAAACAATACATGCAAATCCCAAAAATAAAAACAAAGGAATTAAGAAATTTTAGAAGAAGCAATGTCAGAGTCAGGAATATAAATATATACACTGAGTATACCAAACACTAGGAACACCTTCCTAATATTGAGTTGCTCCCCCTTTGCCCTCAGAACAGCCTCAATTCGTCGGGGCATGGACTCTATAAGTTGTCGAAAGCGTTCCACAGGGATGCTGCCCCATGTTGACTCCAATGCTTCCCACAGTTGTGTAAAGTTGTCTGGATGTCTTTTGGGTGGTGGACCATTCTTGATACTCACAGGAAACTGTTGAGTGTGAAAAACCAAGCAGCGTTGCAGTTCTTGACACAAACTGGTGTGCCTGGCACCTACTACCATACCCCGTTCAAAGGCACTTAAATATTTTGTCTTGCCCATTCACCCTCTGAATGGCACACATACACAATCCATGTCTCAATTGTCTCAAGGCTTAAAAATAGTATTTTTTACCTGTCTCCTCCCCTTCATCTACACTGATTTTAAGTGGATTTAACAATTTACATCAATAAGGGAGCATAGCTTTCACCTGGTCAGTCTATGTCATGGAAAGAGCAGGTGTTCATAATGTTTTATATACTCAGTGTAAATATGTATATTATGGACAGTATATGAATTGCATATAGAAATGTCTGGGCTTATAAGAACACTTATTTCACTCCACACATCAACCACTGTTTGAGGAGCATGCAGCCTCTCGCTGCGTGACAGGTGATATTCTGTATGTCATGGGCTCTCCAAACCTGTTCCTGCAGCTACCCAGTGCTTAAAGGGATACTTTGGGATTTTGGCAATGAGGCCCTTTATCGACTTCCCCAGAATCAGATGAACTCGTGTATTCCATTTTTATGTCTCTGTGTCCAGTATGAAGGAAGTTAGAGGTAGTTTCGCAAGCCAATGCTAACTAGCGTTAGCGCAATGACTGGAAGTCTATGGGTATCTACTAGCATACTAGTATCTCTTTAATTTGGGAAACCAACTGAATAGTCATGTTTTCACAACTAAACATATTTCATTCAACTGTTGACAGCGCCTCTCTCTACGTGCTTGAGAAAGAAATGAAGGAGAGAGAGGAGGAGATGGAAATGCACGGTAGTGTCAGCTTATTAATTATGAAAATATTTTCATAAATCCCTATTACTAGGCTATTCAAAATCAAATACTAATTCACTGTAATTGTAGGCTAACTCTGTAAGCCGCTCTGCACAATCAATCAATGAACAGCATGGCCTAGGCTTATGTGTTCTCTCCCAGACTCATGGATTGAAAGTTTGGAGCGTAACATAAGGTCCAAGTCCATCCAGTATGCATAATAATACAGTCCACACTCAAAGGAGATTACTAGAATTTGTTTAATTTTGGAGTATAGGCTAGACCAATTATATACCAAAGACATCTTAAATCTATGTTTTTTTAAATGTTTTTCTACCGTGCGTAATATATGGTAGGCTATTAGGCTATGTATTGTATAACGGCAAAATCATTATTTTAATTCAGGGTTTTTTCCGGGCTTGGGCTCATATATAGGCCTATGCCTATTCATAAGCTCTAATATGCGTATGGATGTTTTAATTAATCATCACCTTAGAAAGCGCTGCCCATTTCGTTGTGTTAGTCTTTGAAACAACATCCACAACGACCATGTTTTTCACTCAGTTTCAACCTGTTGTTGAACTTTCTTCTTCAAATTGATCATCACAGTGAGGTGAGTTTTAAAAGCATGATGATAAGTGTTTGATGTGATTTTCAATAGCATTTGCATTGGTGTCAGAGTGGTTAGAAGGACAATAGAGCCCTGAGTACCAGGCCATTAGCGACCTGAAGGTCGTTAGCCAGTTGGGTACTACCAACACATGTCCAGAGTGCATAAAAGGAGATTACCGTGACTCAACGGTCACGTGGAATTTGACTGCGGTCATCACTCATGACTTCCGGTGTGGTGGTATTACGGTCAGCACAACAACCCTAGGTGGGGTTAGACTATTATGATGATGAGGATGACAGCTTTGTTGGCTTGAATAAAATACATTACATTACTTACATCAACATTTTGCATAGCATATTATAAAGTATTCTGCCAAGTATTGTTGAGACTTCACAATATAAAAAAGCAAGATTATTTTGTAGCCTACTGTTAAAATATGCCATTTGAGTCATCCATGACATTTAGATAACATTCAAAAACATGTTTTCTTCTTCCAACAGACGGCGCCCATACGTTAACCTGCGCCCTGATGCTGCTCAACACTGATCTACATGGACACGTATGTACAGCTCTGTTCTCAAACCTACAAACTGTGGAGATGGATGGAAATCAATGTACAGCCAGGATCCCCCAGAAATACACTCATAAATCCTATTTGACATTCAGTAGATCCCTGAAGAGTAGAGTCAAAACCCTGTCTAACATGACTCACACACCAACACTATTGATGTCGAGAAACCTACTGTAGTCGGCTCATTGTATTTATGTTTTTTGCTCGGCTGTCTTTAAGAATAAGAATAAAGCCCCCCTTAAGGCAGGCAACATCTGTTTAGAAGTGAAGTGCTGCAGCAACAATAGCTCCTCTCTCTCTCTGTCTGTCTGTCTGTCTCTCTCTCTGTCTGTCTGTCTGTCTCTCTCTCTCTCTCTCTCTCTCTCTCTCTCTCTCTCTCTCTGTCTCTGTCTCTCTCTCTGTCTCTCTCTCTCTGTCTCTGTCTGTCTCTCTGTCTCTCTGTCTCTCTGTCTGTCTGTCTGTCTCTCTCTCTCTCTCTCTGTCTATCTGTCTCTGTCTCTCTCTCTCTCTATCTCTGTCTCTGTCTCTCTCTCTCTTCTCTGTCGTCTCTCTCTCTTCTCTTCTTCTCTTCCTTCTCTGTCTGTCTTCTCTCTATCTCTCTCTCTCTATCTTCTCTCTCTCTCTCTCTCTCTCTCTCTCTCTCTCTCTCGTCTCTTCTCTCTCTCGTCTGTCTCTCTCTCTCGATCTCTTCTTCTCTGTCTCTCGCTATCTCTTCTGTCTCTTGCTATCCTCTCTCTGGTCTGTCTGTTCTCTCTCTGTCTCTCAATCTATCCTTCTCTGTCTCTTGCCTCTCTTGTCTCTCTCTCTCTGTCTCTCTCGATATCTCCTTCTCTGTCTCTTGCTATCTCTCTCTGTCTCTCTAGCTCTCTCTCTCTTCTTTCTCTCTCTCTATCTCGCTATCTCTCTCTTACCCTCCAGCTCTATCTTGCAATCTCCATCTCTGTTTTCTCCTCTGTCCTACTTTCTGTCCTCTTTCTGTCTCCTACTACTAAATACCACAGCACTGTGTACTAACTCTTAGCCAGTGTTACTTTAACACGCACTCTCACAATTTAACTCTCTGTTCTTGTATGTATACTAACAGATCCTCTCATTGCGTCTAACACACGCTCTCAACCTCCTTCGTTTCTTCTCCTCTCCTCTCATTCCCTCTATCCTCCTGGGTTCTGTTTGACTTCTGTGTAACCTCTGGCTGTCCTCCTCCGTAGGTGGTAAGTGGCTTTTAGCACTAACCTATTCTGTGTCTCCATGTACAGTATATTTGTGGTCATAATGTAAACAATCAACCGCATAGTGCATGAAGAGAATAGCTAGTGCTCTACCTGCACACCACTGACACCTAGTGGTAGGATCCTGTCACTGTCATTCAGGGGAATTATTCATAAAACTGCATATTCACATAACATATTCACATAGATTTACATTTACAGTAGTGTTTCTCCCAACCTTGTTATTTTGCAGAATGATTTGAAAAAGATCCACCTACTATAGAAAATACAGTAAACGTCTCAAAGGTTTCTCAATATTTACATTAACCGGTAGGTAGGACGTCTGTGAATCCCAAATCACCCCCTCGCCCCTACCAACCTACGGGTGACTTCCAGAGAGTGGCGAGGGGATCAATAAACCCATCAACTGTCGTTTTACAAGATATAAATCTCAGTAACAGTTAAACATTTCATTTGAGGTATAGGCCATTTCATCTGTTACATGTGTCACTTCTTGAAATCAGACATAAACAAATGCATGTGTCATATAATTAGGCAAGCCTCTACATTATTTTGTATTAAATTGCGCGAACTCCAAACATATCGTGGTGCGTGTCAGGATAGCACTTTGCTCTGAAACCTGCAGCCTTGCTGGGTTATCGGAGGGTCACGTGTGTCACTACACCCTCAATAATTTTCACTCCCTCAGCTTTGGGACACTTATGCATAAGGCGGAGGTGAGCGAGAATGCAGGGCTGAGGGAAAGGGAAGGGAGTAATTTAGGATTCAGCCTAATTGTCTGTTTCGTTCTCTGTCTCTCTTGTCCAGAACATTGGGAAGAAGATGTCTTGCCAGCAGTTCATCAGTAATCTGGACGGCCTAAACGATGGCAAAGACTTCCCTAAAGACCTATTAAAGGTACGGTAATCAATGCAAGGACAATATTGATGATAACACTTCAACTAGGCTCCTTAATATGGCTTTGCCTTACTAATGTACATTTGGTCAGATTCCAAAGTTGGCATTACTGATCCAGTTCAATGAGATGTGAGTTTTCTCTCCCACCGTTTTGATTTCTTCACTTACTCTTCCTGTTTAGGTGCTGTATAGTTCAATAAAGAACGAGAAGCTTGAATGGGCAATGTGAGTATCCCTTCTCAGGTGTGTGTGTGTGTGTGTGTGTGTGTGTCCTATGTTATATCTGAAGTCTGATGTATTGCAGTGAGGAAGAGGAGTTCAGGAAGAGTCTATCGGAGCTGGTGGAGGAGCAGTGTGAGGGAGGGGGGAAGAGGGGGGTTGCCAGGGTAACGGATGGCAATAACCCTTTCATCGCCATCCCCATCCTACCCAACGCCGTCACCTATAAACATGGTGTCCTGACCCGCAAGAGCCACGCAGACATGGACGGCAAACGCAGTGAGGACACACACACACACACATAGATTGGCTTAGGCTAGGTTGGAAGGGAATTTCTTAATGCATGAGTCGTCAGTTATTGGGATTTAAACAAGTTTAGAAATAACGGTTGTCTCACTTTCTCTCCGTATCTCTCTCTCTCGCTCTCTCTCGCTCTCGCTCTCTCTCTCTCTCTCTCTCTCTCTCTCTCTCTCTCTCTCTCTCTCTCTCTCTCTATCTATCTATCTATCTATCTATCTATCTATCTCTCTAGCCCCACGAGGACGGCGAGGCTGGAAGAAGTTCTATGCGGTTCTAAAGGGGATGATCCTTTATCTACAGAAGGTACCAGATACCTCTCCGTTACCATAGAAACAGACTTCTACCACTGCAGTAGGATGCAGCAGTGGTAGCTCAGCTGCATGTATGTGTGTGTGTGTGTCACTCTCTCTCTCCCACACACACACACACACATCCACAGTAGTAGGAGCTCTCTGACGACTTTATATGTGTGTGTCTCCCCCTGTTGACAGGATGAGTATAAGGCTGATGCAGAGCTGTGTGAGGGGGACCTGAAGAACGCTGTGCGTATCCACCATGCGTTAGCCACCTGCGCTACAGACTACAGCAAAAGACCCAACGTCCTCAAACTAAAGACCTCTGACTGGAGGGTGTTCCTGCTGCAGGCACCGTAAGACCTCTGCTACTCTGGCCTGTAGGGTAGGCCTGTTAATGGGAACAAGCTTTATGTCCCCTAATGCACTAGGTTATTTTGTCACGCAATGATAACTGACTTGATGTACAGAAATGTGGCGTTATTATTAGCCAAATATTATTAGCCTTTAGATATTTTGTTGCAACTTGTGGCATACTCTCTCTCATAATATAATAATGTATGCCATTTAGCAGACGCTTCATCCAAAGCGACTTACAGTCATACATGCATACATTCTACGTACGGGTGGTCCCGGGAATTGAACCCATTATCCTGGCACTGAAAGCGCCAATGCTTACCCAATAGGAGCAAACACAGCCAGAGACGCCGCGGCGACGAGAGCGCCGGCTGAGAAAGAAAGCGAGATGGAGGAGAGAGAGAGAGAAAGAGGATGAAATAAATATAGATAGAGAAGATAGGGAAAGGATCGAAGAAAGAGTGAGAGTAAGAGAGAGATAGAAAGAAAGGAGAGTAAATGAAATATAGACGAGAGTGAGATAGAAGAGAGCAAGGAGGATGATAGAAAGAGAAGGCAGGAAAGGAGAGAGAGAGCGAGAGAGAAAACGGAAATAGAGAGAGAGGGAGAGATGAGAGAGACGAGGGAGGAGAGCGAGGGGTGGGAGAAAAGAGAGCCAATGAAGAGGAGATAGAGAGAAAGAGAGATAGAGATATCGAGAGAAACGAGAGGGAGTAAATAGAGCAGCGATGAGAGAGAGAGAGAGCGAGAACGGAGAGAGATAGAGAGAGCAGAAAGAGAGTAGAGAGAGAGAGAGATGAGAAAAAGATAAAGGGAGGGGAAGGAGGAGAGAGGGAGAGGAAAAGAAAAAGAGAAGAGGAGATGAGAAGGGAGTAAGCGAGAGAACGAGAGAGAAGACGAGCGAGAGTAGAAAGAGAGAGAGCGAGACAGGATAAACGGAGAGAGAAGAGCAAAGAAGAGAGACTATGACAGACGAGTGGAGCAGATAGAGAGGCACGAGAGGAGCAGGAATGGTTGTGAGGGGAGTGCGGAGTAGAGAGCAGGAAAAAAGAGAGGAGGATGAGGAGAAAGAAAAAGAGCGAGAGAGAGAGAGAGAGAGAGTAGAGAGAGAGAGAGAGAGAGAGAAAGAGAGAGAGAGCGAAAGAACAAGAAGAGCGAGAGATAGAGAGAGAAGAGATATAGACTAGCTATATGTATAACTCTATTCTCATATCGTAACGAAACCGATATATATATATAGATATAAATATATCTTAGAGATCTATCTCGATATAAGAGAGAGAATATAGATATATTATATATATCATACTCTAAATAACCAATCTATATATATATATATATAGAACTAAAAATATATATCTACTATATCTCTATAGATATAGCTCTAGCTATATATCTCTCTCTATACCTACCATATATACTCTTATCCACGCTCTATCTATATGATATATCTCTATCATCTCTCTCTATATCCTACATCTATATGTAGGGTGAGTTGAGGGGAGGAGAGGATGTCGTGGATATTCCGTATTAACCTGGTAGCAGCTCTATTCTCCGCTCCGGCCTTCCCTGCTGCCATCGGCTCCATGAAGACGTTCTGTAGACCTCTACTGCCCTCCTCCTCCACCCGGCTAAGCCAGGTACACACACACACAAACACACACAAACATTAGCTCATGTGTGTGTGTGTTCATACAATCACACACATGCACGATGCACACACACATTCTCTCACACATTCGGTACACACACAGCCACAAATATAGCATAGTGCACCCTAAATTGATTGTGTTATGTGATTGGCTGTTACTGGTACCTGCTGGTTGATGAGTTGCTGTGATTGGTGCAGGAGGATCAGCTGCAGTCTCACGAGGGGAAGCTGAAGCAGATGAGTGTGGAGGTGGAGGAGCACAGGAAGAGCCCGCCCTCGCCTTCTCCCAAGAGCAGAGAGTGGGAGGAGTACCGAATCAAAGAGCACTACCTCATATATGAGGTGAGAGAGTGAGAGAGGGAGAGAGGGAGAGAGAGAGAGAGAGAGAGAGAGGGAGAGAGTGAGAGAGGGAGAGGGAGAGAAGGCTACAGGTCTTCTGGCCGACACACCTTTGCGTAATATGTATAGTTTATCTTAAAGGAGACGTTGCATCTCTCTCTCTCTCTCTCTCTCTCTCTCTCTCTCTCTCTCTCTCTCTCTCTCTCTCTCTCTCTCTCTCTCTCTCTCTCTCTCTCTCTCTCTCTCTCTCTCTCTGCATAGGTCTGGGTAAATTTCAAATAGATGTGCTGTTGTTGTGTTGTTGCGTTATAGTTGTGACAGAATCACAATATCAATGTCCTATATCCCCATCATGAGTTCATTTGTCATGAATCCTCTTACTCTCTGTAGGGGAGCATTGTGTAATAGCTGTGTTAAATGAGTCTGATATATGCATATTTATAGTCACATTATCTTCATTCCCCCTCTCTCTCCATTGCAGAAGAGTCGGTACGAGACGTACATCAACCTGCTCCAGGCCAAGATGAGGGCAGAGACAGATGACCTGGAGAAGATAGAGGCTAGCGTGATGAGCGGGATCGGGGAGGGCCGAGGAGGGCGCGAGGGCTACCTCCGGAAGACCCAGTCCTCTCCTTCCATCAGCCAGCACGGTCTCAACAGCAGGGCTTCTGGACGCACTGGCCCTGGCCAGCAGAGTTGAGAGGAGAAACCCCTAAAAACATCATGCACCCCCGTAATTGTCCTCTGAGCCAGAGGCCCCCCCCCCCCCCCCCCCCCCCAAACGCCTGAGAACTGGAACCTCATATCCAACCAACTCCCCCAAATCCTCCCTCCTTCCTATTTCATTGCACAGTATAGCAGTAATAATTGTTCCAGCTATACAGTATTATTGGTGTTATTTAACCAACAGCTAATTGTCGCTGGCAGTGCTTATAAGAACACTTCTAACAGAGAACACGAAGACGTGGAAGAAAGGATGAAAGAGAGGACTTACCTGCATAAAGGAAGTGACATCATAAGGAAGTGTGATGTGTAGTTTTTTGGTTTGAGGAGGTGGATGGTGGATTTCAGGGTGAAGGGGTACAGTAGCATAGTAGTAGGGCGACAAGTAGCCTAGCGGTTAAGAGCGTTGGGCCAGTAACCAAAAGGTCACTGTTTTGAATCCCCGAGCCGACTAGGTGAAAAATCAGTCGATGTGCCCTTGAGCAAGGCACTTAACCCTAATTGCTCCTGTAAGTCACTCTGCATAAGAGCATCTGCTAAATGACTAAAATGTAAAATGTAAGTAGTAACTCACACCTAATAGTGAGCCTTCAACAGGTTTCTCTGGACCATATAGAGCATGGAGACTCCTCAGTGTATCTGAACAGGCCTATGTAACAGACCTACTGTATGGGAGCCTTAATGATGATGAAGAACCCTGACTCAGACTCTCAGAACTGTTATGATGATCAACTCCTTGCTGTGTAGACTATTATTGCTAAGTATTTATTGTAGACTTCTTCTTCCACTTGAACATGAGCTTCATATATGATATCAGTCTGAATGAAAGCACTGTGTCATGTTGTATAACCCCTAGTTATATGTTACTGTCTGGATACCTGTACTGCTGTTCCTCTGAGTGGAAGCTGTACTGCTGTTCCTCTGAGTGGAAGCTGGGATGGAGGACATTGACTGAGTATGAGCAGTAACGTTGGTTTGTTGAAGATTTTGATAAAGTGCTTTGTGCGTGTGTGTGTGTGTGTGTGAGCCTGCGTACATGCGTGTGTATGTGGTTGAGGGATGGCCAGTGGACGTGGGGTTAAGGGTTAAAGGAAGCAGGTCTAACGTTAAAGGATCTGTGTTCTGTGTTGGTATGCTTTGATGCAGAAGAAGAGAAGACGTCTCTCCCTGAGTTGGAGCTGGCTCATCTTCCTGTCATATCATCATCAGATTGCAGATAAAACAATAAAAGACTGGAAGACAAAGCAGCAGGACTGCAGGGGCTGAGCAGAACATAGCGGTACACGTGGTGTAAAATCATATTCATATGGGAGACCAGAGAGAGGACACTAACCCAGCTCTCTCTCTCTCCAGGAAGGAACCATGGAAAGATAGAGGGAGGAAGGAGGGCAGTGGTTCTGCTGGACTACATTATTCTTCATCTCCCTCTCTTTGTCTTTCTCCCCCCTCTCCTGACTGGACTTCAGATGGGATAGTGTCCCTAATTCATATCCCTTTCTCCACATTAAAGCGGTACGGAATCTTTGCACGTTCAGACCAGACACAGGGACTATATAGATGCTGTGTTTTTCTATTCCACAGTGATGAGACTGGGATCAGAGATCCTTAGTTCTGTTGACTGAAGTGGAATTTGGAATCAGAACTGCCATTTTATACATTATTAGTTATGTCTTTCTTACTCTGAGGACCGACCTTGTCACTTTGGCTGTTGTGCTAACTAAGCATTGTTTCCCCGATGTTTTAGGGTAGAGCAGTGCTGTTGTAATATAGAATTGTGAGAAGGTTTTTTACTTTGCTGGTCCTGTCTTAAATAAATAAAAAGTATTTTTTATTTATTTAAACAAAGGAAACTTGGGGACTGGAAATGTTACTGTATATTGTTATTTTGTTTGACAGTGTAAAGTGAAGGGCGTTTTTACTGGTTATTATAGTGCTTCCTAAAGTCACCTTTTATATACAATTGAAATTGGTGTCAATGTTTTTATTATCAATTCTACATCTCTTTATCTAGAGATATTGCCTCAGCACAAAGTTTTATAAGAGAAATGTAACGCAGATGAGGAGATAACAATGTGGAAAATGTTAAAGAATGTTGGTGACTTCCATGCATACAGTAGCTAGTTCACAATTTAGCAGGAATACACATCACGTCCACATCCTGGACACAATGAGCACTTGTGAAGGTACCACTCACATCTGTAGCCATTAAATACTTTGAAAGACTGGTCATGGCTCACATCAACACCATCATCCCAGACACCCTGGACCCACTCCAATTCATATACTGCCCCAACAGAGCCACAGATGACGCAATCTCTATTACACTCCACACTGCACTCTCCCACCTGGACAAGAGGAACTCCTATGTGAGAATGCTGTTCATTGAGGGCCGAGCACACTCCCATCCACATCGATGGGGCTGTAGTGGAGCGGGTCGAGAGCTTTGAGTTCCTCAGTGTCCACAAGGAACATGGTCCACACATACCAACACAGTCGTGAAGAAGTCACGACAATGCCTCTTCCTCCGCAGGAGGCTGAAAAGATTTGGCATTGGCCCTCAGATCCTCAAAAAGTTCTACAGCTGCACCATTGAGAGCATCTTGACTGGCTACATCACCGCTTGGTACGGCAACTGCTTGGCATCCGACCGCAAGTCGCTACAGAGGGTAGTGCGTACGGTCCAGTACATCACTGGGGACGAGCTCCCTGCCATCCAGGACTTCTATACCAGGCAGTGTCAGAGGAAGGCCCTAAAAAGGTCCAGCCACCCAAGTCATAGACTGTTCTCTCTGCTGTTGGTTCCAAGTCTGGAACCAACAGGACCCTGAACAGCTTCTACCCCCAAGCCATAAGCAGGCTCTGTCGTAGCCGGCCGCGACCGGGAGACCCATGGGGCGGCGCACAATTGGCCCAGCGTCGTCCAGGGTAGGGGAGGGAATGGCCGGCAGGGATGTAGCTCAGTTGGTAGAGCATGGCGTTTGCAACGCCAGGGTTGTGGGTTCGATTCCCACGGGGGGCCAGTATGAAAGATGGTATGCACTAACTGTAAGTCGCTCTGGATAAGAGCGTCTGCTAAATGACTAAAATGTAAATGTAAAATAAGACTGCTAAATAGTTAACTAAATAGCTACCCAGACAATCTGCATTCACTCCCTTTTGCACTAACTCATTTGACTCATCACATACACTGCTGCTACTGCTTATTATCTATCCTGATGCCTAGTCACTTTACCCCTACCTATATGTACATATCTATCTCAATTACCTCATATCGACTCGGTCCTCATACCCTGTTTACATAGCCAAGTTATCGTTATTGTGTATTTATTCCTCGTCTTATTATTTTTCTATTTTTCTCTGCATTTTTGGGAATGTAAGTAAGCATTTCACTGTTAGTCTACACCTGTTGTTTATGAAGCATGTGACAAATACAATTTGATTTGATTGTCTCTCAAATACATGGTAACAGTTGTTGGTTAGCTAGCTAGGGAGTTTTTTTTGCCATATTAGCATTGACATGAAATCAGTCAAAACACCTCAAAACAAGACATGGTATCAAGAACAAGATAAAACTGGCTGAAAAGAGCCACCAACGATTCCCCACATGGCAGCCTCTTGTCATTGTTGCTAGCTATCTGACCGTTCAGTCATAACAAAGCACGGATTCCGGCCCCATCGACGCGTGCACGTTATTTTCGTGATGTTGTCAGCCAACCTGTCTATTCTTGTCAATGCGACGTGCACGGTATTCATTCTTCAACACCTTTGACAGCGCCAACTTTGCGCATCAACAACACGTGCTCGAAATGGCACAAATAGGCCTACTTCAGCGCCATGGACAGCACCAATGTCGCATATCGCCATCACCAGCACCTTGAAATGTGCCTGACATCTCTTCTAGCAAACTTCACGTTTCACCAGCAGGTAGGCCTATTGCTACCACTACCAGTACTCCTAAATTGAAGTTATTTGGACCATTATGAATAATATTTTCCATGGAACTTTTAGTCAGACACTCTGTAAAGACACAAGAGCATGAGGAATGACTGTTTATTGCAATTAGTCATTTTCAGACGACAAAGGCTTTCCAACATTAAAACAACAATGTACAAAACAGCACACTTTTTGCCATCAATGGAAATTTAATAAGGTAGTGAAAGTACATAAACAAAGTAATGAAGTACAGTAAGATACAAGTTATGATGTCAAATGTAGGATGAGCAGATTTTTTTCAAAGCCAAATTAAGCACCATCTTCATGTAGTCAGGAAAGGCCATAATTCAGTAAGAACTACTCTAGAATGTATGGGAGAAGAAGTTAAACATGGTACATCACAGTTTTCAGACCTTTTTACCAACTAAAAAATAACAATATTGGTGTAACACTACTTTATCATGCAATTTACTTTAGTAAACCTTCTGAAGCACAGACAAAATATACTTCAATAAGTAGAAGAACTCGATACATCTCTGTCCAGCAATGTCACAAAGCCTGGAAAGTCATTTATACTCTCTGAATGTGAGATCCCTATCAAAAATAATATGCTGATTTTTTATTTTCTTAATATATCTAAAGTGCAAGTATTTATCCATTTTATTCTATGCTTTCTGTAAGTATAAAATACAAAAGAAAAAAAACAGAAATATGCTTTTCCTGTTTATATGTTATATTTTTCTGAAAGGAGGATCATCATATACACACACACCACAGGTAAAATATTTTGAAAGGTGCAACATCTCATATAGGGTTGATAAAGGGGTAGTTAGACCATACGGTGACATGGGATATGTTCATTGTGCATTGACCCCCTTCTTCCCCATTGACTTTTATAGATCCTTTTCCCAATGTCTCGTCCCTGTACATAACGGTAGCCTATACAGTCTGCATACATGAAGGACTCTGCATTGGTATGTGCAAAACAGAATGCGTGCTGAGCTAGTAATGGTCAAGGTGACTGTTGGCTTCACAAACAAGATT